AACTTGTAAAATAATGTATTATATATATAATACTATGTTAAATTTTATCTAAATAGAATTTTGGCCATTAGGCCTACTATTAAACTTATTGTGCCACAGATGGTGACAAGAATTTGACAAGTTAAAGACAATTCTCGTACCTTTTTTTTAACGATTTTTAATTTGGATTCAAATATAATGGAAATGTGGTTTATTTGGAAACTGGACTGTTGAGAATTTCATGGAATGATGTTACTGTAGAACGCAGCATTAAGCTTTATAAATGCTATTATGTTATTATTATTATTGTTGATGTCGTTGTTGATATTGCTATTATCATTATTATCATTATTATCGTCATTATTAGTATTATTATTATTATTATTATTATTGTTGTTGTTGTTGTTGTTGTTATTATTATTATTATTATTATTATTATTATTATCACATGAAGTAGTACTTAAAGAGGCCCTCAGGGACTGCTAGGTTAAAAGAATTATTTGAAAGAGACAACTTGGGCTACATGTTCTAGAACACCTGTTGCTCTATGGACATAAAGGAGTTATTGGACATTTTTGGCATAATGTCAAGCATTAGTTGTTGACACAATGTCCAGATTGGTGACCACAATGTTGAGCAACGTACTTAGAACGGGCGGACAACGTCAAAGTAAGGATTGTGTTGGTGGTTTGCGAGTGCTCTGATGCTGTTTGCTCCTTCTTTCCTAAATGATATTAATTATAGATTGTAAAACGCATAAAGCTAGCTGTTGTTGAGGGGGAATTCGCGCTATATCAATGCTACCAGACTTGGCATTGGAAACCAACAGGAAAAAGAAAGCAGGGAAGACCAACTGGAAGCTATAAAGGCGAACTAACAGAAGAGGCAATCACCCAGGGATTAATAAATGTGCTGAAATCGGAGAGAGTGGCTCGGAACAGATGAGCTTGGCGTCGACTGCCTTCCGCCTTTTGTACCTGAAGGTATAAGGAGAGACTAAGCAAATAAGTAATGTCATATTATATTAATAAACATCTATCGACCTTATCTCTCCTCCTCCGTTTTTGTTGTATTTGTTACTATCTTATTCCTATAACCTCAATGTGCTACAAGTGTGCAAAACTCATACTAAAACTAAACTAAAGTATGGACAGTGTTCTATTATGGCACAATGTTCGAGAGCAGCTAGCGACCGTAAACAATGACAGGGCAATCCAAGTCAACCTCTGAGACAGAGATGACCGCTCCAGATATTCCAGGTAGTATCTTTATTTAAAAAAGGCGCTGTACATAGCCAGTGTTACAGAGCAACACCATGCTTCTCTCCCTAGCTGCGTCACTTACAGGAAGAGTCGAGGAGTGAAGAAGGGCATAGATCTGGTTTATCGGTGTCGCAAATTCTCTAAGACTGATTTATGATACAGATGAAAGCGTTCCATTTTGACACTCACATGACTCATCTAAACTCGCAAAGCGTTACTTATTTTTTTTTTTTTTTTTAAGGGGAGGGGTGTTTTGATTTATTTGGGGTGGGGTTTGTTTAGTTTTGTTTTGTTTTTTTGTTTTAGTACGAGTTTTGTGACACTTACCACCAAATAATGAGGGCCAAAGATTATAGATGTCACCGACAGCAGATATTAAAATACAAGGGAAAAAAGGACGGAATATAAGGACGATGTAAAGGTCTTGAACATCTAGATTAGCTTTCACTGGCAAAATTGAAGGCAAACGAGGCAGGGGTAGGCACAAAACAATCTACTTGGGAAACCTAAACAAATGGATAGCAGGGAAAGATCAGGGAAACGCAGCTTTTTTAAAAGAGTATCAGAGCAAAGGAATGAATGGAGAACCATGATCGCCGATGTCTGTCGCAGATCTGGCACTGGATGACGATAAGGACGATAGATCCTCATCATTGTCTTTCTCACCCTGCGCCAGGGTATAGGCCACGGACAAACACCTTCCACCTTTTCTCTATCCTGGGCTAGCCTTTTGATGTTATTCCATGTCTTACCACTTTTCTGTACATCGAATTCTGTGATTCTTCTCCAGGTAACACGCGGTCTTCCCTTTGATCTCTTACCCTGTGCGTTCCAATCCAAAACCTTCTTTGTTATGCAGATGCTTGATAGGTAAGAAGGATCGAACCACACCACAATCCAATCCACCAATCATCCACTTCGGAGTCGTGAATATCCTATTAATAGTTTACAATAGAGAAAAATGTATTGCGGTTTAATTTAAACAGAGTAAAACTGAACTAATTGGAATACACGATATACCATAAGTCAGACATCGACGGATCAGTTAAGTAGAAACATCGGTCGTACAATCTAATTTATCCTGGAACTTGAAAGGAAGAAAAAAAAGTTTTGTTTTATGTGCTTTTTTTTGGGGGTACGTTAGTTTTTGTTTGTTTGCTTGGGGGTGTGTGTTCGGGGTGTTGTATATTATGTCGTTCATTTACCAAAAGTGAGATGCTGTAATAAATGTATAGTTTCTGTATGAAATAATATGGGAATTGAAGCTATTTTCTGGATGTTTTTTAATAGTTCATACACTGGATTGGAAATTAAAAGTCTGGAACAGAGAGGGAGCAATTTCTCTCACAAAAGTTTCATTTAACATGATGCAACAAAGCCATTGAGAAAACTATTTGCCAGACCACCCAATCTTTTGCACTGGAATATAGGCCATGGTCTGTCAAGAACAAATTTCTCGACTATTGAAACATAAAACCCAAAAGAGAAGTGTTTTTGACGTCAGTCACTCCCAACTTCGAATTTCAAATCCCTTGTGTATGTGTGTGTGTGTGGGGGGGGGGGGGCTTGGAATAAAGCTATAGCAATAGATTATAATCTCTGTATACTGTTCTTGAGAGTTAGTTGAGTGTGTCTGACGTCTTTGGTTTAAGTGACATTGGAAACTGTTTCTGTTTGTGTGTTTAAACCGATCTCGCAGTAATGGGAATGGCGGCAACCTTGCCTTTAAGGTAAACTTTGAGAATCACAATAACATTCTGTTTATTTATGAAATCTTTCGACCTTCCTTAAAAATATGAATATAATAAAAACAATTCGTGCCCTTGAAGAGTCAAATTCGTATGTGTTTATGCTATAGGATTTTTAAAAAATAGGTCCCCTGAAAATTGAAGAATATATATCTAAACAATATCGGTGATTTTCCTTCACTGACTAAAAGAAAGAAAAAATAGTACTCTTTTTCAAAGTAAAAAAAAAGTCATGAAAATTATGTTTTATCCTTTTAATATTTTGTTAGGTTTTTTTGTAGCTGTTTTTTTTTTGGTGTTTTTTTGTTTGGGTTTTTGTTTTTTTTGGTTGTTTTTTTTTTTTGTTTCTTTTTATTTAAAAAAAATTTTTTTTTGGGGGGAGGGGGTGTTGTAAAATTTTGTACAATCTGTTTGCTACCTCTGTACCCACCAACTTGAGACACACTTCAGTGAGCGTTGCGTTAGCCCAGTTGGAAAAACACTCTAGACTGGGGAGAAGATGGCCTTGATTTGAACTCTAGACTGGGTGTTCTTGAACTATACAAGGCTGGCAACCCATTTCACTCGGCCCTTTTGGAGATGAAGGTGAAATTTGTTCATCTTACCTCTCAAATAATCTAATAGTTCGATACGGGCATTAAAACCGTACACTTACTTTTACACGTGCCTGGAACGTAAAGAAGTCAAGATATTTGTGATTGAAGGCGGTCGGGTAGCCTGCTTTCTTAGGTAAAAATTAGAGAGAAAATTGCAGCCAAAGTTTAGGAACTTCTATGGCTTGAAGGTCCTTGAAAACTGAAACTCGACATATTTTCTGCTATTAATCAACTTTTATCGTGAAAGAAAAAATAGCATAGAAATATGTCTTTTTATGGACATGAATAGTGTAAGGCCAAAAAACCAAAATTTGAAAAAACTTTCCAGACTGGAGGAAAAATGCCTGTTTCTTCGATTTCAATATTTTGACGAGCGCCTGATTTCACCACGATGTCTAACATATAACCAGGCACCGTTCAGCTCTTTATGTTTCCAACAACTGGTACTGTCATGCCACCACTTAACCCCGTTATAGCTACCATCCACTGATCCGTCTCCGTGGTACTTATTTACTGATATAGATTTGTTCAATCGTTTGTGCAAAGTATGAGGGAAACATAAGTGTCCACTTCAGTTTCACAGAGCGAAAGCTTCATTTCCACGTACCTAACATTAGTTAAAGCTGTTTCCCTTTAATATTGAAAACAAAAAGTCAAATTTTGAGTCAGTTTTAGTTTGAAGAATGTAGATCGAACCCAGTAGGCTATCTCTCAGAGAAGTGAAGAGAACAACACCAAAAATGAACATAGAGACCTGCAAAGGGAATGATTTGTTAATTTGTTTGAGAGTTGGACAAAAGGGAATAGAAAAACAACCTTACATCATTACTTAACTAACCCTAACGTAAACATATCTGTGTCTTGATCCCCAGGCGGCGTCCGTCTGAGCTTTCATCCGTCTGGAAAACCCATCAAATCCCATCAGCAGACAGGAAGCCCGTCTTCATAGTTATACACTATTTCCCACGCATTTTTTTCTAAGAGGACTCCTCTGTGTGAAGATAAAATAAAGGTTTAAAAACAGTGTATATTATATTGATTGACCATTCAGGATCCAAGGCGGTAACAGTTTTATCCTTGATTTTGGTAGAGATATCTCGAGATAATGTGAACTACAATGTCTGTTTAACCAGACCACAGTCTCATAAGCTGTCTTTTAAAACTATGTGTTGTACCATACTATGCCACATCCTATCATGTCATGCCATGTCGTACTAAATCTGCACTTGCATCTCAAAGAGAATACTCGTCTTTGAGCAAGAGAATTACTGTAAAAAGTGCATTTATATATGAATGAAAATTAGTAATAAAATAATGTTGTTTACCAAGCACGCTGTGTCACTAGATTCGTACAGTTAGGAGAGCCAATGCCCGTTCATTCCAAAATGGTGGATTTTGTCCCCGCGGGTATTTTTTAGTCCAAAAGAGCTGGGTAAATATTTTACGTAACAAACTTACCCGCACAGCTTCCCGATATACTTGTACTCTTTACACACACACACACACACACACACACACACACACACACACACACACACACAAAAATACAAACACAAAAATACACAAACACACTTATATAAACACGCGCATACACGCATACATATTATATAAACACACACATACACACAATTACACACACACACATACACGCACACACACACGCATGCATACACAGAGACACACATGCACACATACACATACCCACAAACGCACACACATGTACTCACGAGCGTGTACACTTGGGCTCACACACACTTAACTTAATAGTCTCATAGTATGTCAACATATCACTCGCGAACTGAGACATGTGCGGGCTGACAAGTCATCACTGAGAACCACAGATCGATTTTGGATTACCCCTCGGGTAACGAGAAATCAATATCAGATTAGCAGCAGCTGAGCTGTCCACGGGACCCCATTCTCCGTCAGTGATTTAACATTGCGTAAAGTAAACCCTATCACAATGTTTACAAGGCTTCCCATTGTGAGCGGGGGGCATTTGCGAAAACAGTTAGCTTTATTTAAATTACTATGGTTTTGTTTTATTAAAAAATCCCCAGGCTCAGTAAACTTCTTAAATACATCAATTAAACAATATTGAGATGAATGAAACGACCCTTGCCTGTGGTGTGGCGGTGAAGGGTTTTGTTGTCACACACAGGAGACAATAGTTCGATTCCCGAGAGGAGAGACTTTTTTAAAATGAAGTAGCTTGTGGTCTTTTTACATGTTTTAAAGAGATGGAACCAGCTGACTAACTGCCTCGGATGATCCACTTTAAATTGGACAACAAATAGATAAGAAGATGTTAAACTGTTTTAAATTTAAATAAAAATATTATTTTTAATTCAGAAAGGGTAAAAAAATATGTGATATTCTTTTGAAAATATTACTAAGATTTTTATTTTATTTTATTGTGCTTTTTGTTATCAATTAAAAGATGAATTTCTACAAAATATTTTCACAACACGTTCAATCGATAAAAGAGATAACAAATTACAAAAGTCGTTTTTCTCAAAAGTTTGGGCTCAGTAAAACTGAAGATCTGACAGACTAAATGAGTAGCTCTTTGAAGTGGGTTCTTTGATGAGTATTGAGTAGGGGGCTCTGGGCCTAGAGGTTAAAGGGTTCACTTTTCATTCAATAGTCTTCATTCACTTCGAATCCTGGAAGCGACAGAAACATTTTCTTCTCTAAATTTGTATCCTTCCACTTACTGTTCTGCTCTCTAGCAATGTTCTGTCGTCTACTTTCGTCTCCACTTTCTGCCCCCATGCATTCACCTTCTTTGCCCCCCCCCCCCTTCTCTGGGCTCCTGGTTCTTTCTATAGCCTTTCTACTACTACTCCTTGCCTCCTTCCTACTTCTTGCAAGTTGCGCGCGTTGAAGATCCCTTGATGGTCTTTAATCGATAAGAGTAGTCTTCGGCCACCACCAGGAGAAAATTCAAAATTTCCTACCCACTGAAAATGTTTAATGTGTCCCTCGTGCTCATATTATGACCTTATGCAGTTGCAAGCACTGTAAAACACTTACCAAAAAAAGAAAGAAGAAGAAAGGAGTATTGAAGGCTCTCCATCTACTTAACTTGCCTAGAACATAATATGCAGGATGGCCGTTGATTTCGGAAATCTCGATAGTTACACGACCACATAGTAATATGGGGGCGCTAACAACACTTAATAAGATAGAGAGACACATTCCAAATAGCTTCAGCAGAATGCTTGCTTATTCTTCGAATTTTGTTTTTCTAAAATGCTCAAATAAAACAACAACACGAATAACACAAACAAATAGCAACAACAATAGCATCATCAACCTACAACAAACACCACAGGTGAAAAGCAACACTAAGTGCATCTTCTTATAATCCCAAGATGCATTGGAAAAGTCTTCCAATAGAATGTTAGATTCCGTGAAAGGAAATAAACAATAGATTCATTACCCAACACTCGATCACCTGCACAAACAACCACTCGGAAAATACGATATTCTCACCACTTCCCCTAGCCTTTTTTCCTATTATTACAGAATAATGAAACTATCCAAGAGAACTGCCTATCTAACATGACCATTTTTCTTCTCTGAAATAGAGGATCATTCTAGACAGGTTCAAGTGCACTTACTCGTATAATGTTCCTTTCTCCCTGAATGCGTACTATAGTACTACAGCGGCTAGGTACTCGCCACAGATACTCTGTTTCGTCTAATGCAGTGGTTTTCAAAGTGGGCGCTACCGCCCCCAGGGGGGGGGGCGGTGGCGACATTTTGGGGGGCGCTGTGGCGAAATTGGGCGATTGGGGGGCGGTGGTGGGAGTAAAGGGGGCGGTGTGAGATGTTCATGAAATGCAACATAAAAAATGGTGAAGGGAAAGAAGCCACATAAAAAAACAAAAACAAAAATTGATAACTTGGGCATAGTTTACAATACTACTTATTACTAAGAACTTTGTTTTCCAGCACTCAAAGCCCATAATAAATAATTATAAAGATGAATCATCCCGTCAAATCTGACAAAGATCTGGCATACTTCAAAACTCTAAAGATCAATTTCCAGAAATAAAAATCAATTAAATCGATGTTTGCAGCCGACGTCGATCAAGCTGATGAAGACTTACGAGCAACTAATAATTTATATCTGCTTATTGCAAAGGCAGGCAAACTCCGTACTCTCGGTGAGGACCTCATTGCCTGCGATAAGAGAGGTGGTCAGCACAGTCCTGCACCGTGCCCCGGAGCCTGTGTTGAAAATTCTTGTCATTAAGTGACAATACCGTTCAAAGACGTATGGATGGGATGTCAGCAAATGTTAAGGAGTCATTGTGCAAAATGCTTCAAGGACGTAAGTTCATCCTTCAACTGGATATCGGTTCATTGAGGGTGAGGTAGATAATGCAAGAATTGTTATTTGCGAAAATATTGGAAACAGATACCAAAGTCGAGTCCATTTTCAAAGTGGTCCAAGAATTTTTTGAGGAGAAACAGATTCCTCTAGCCAATATAGTTGCCTATGCAACAAATGGAGCACCGTCGATGACTGATCGGTACCGTGGATTTATGAGTTTCTTGAAGAAATCAGTTCCTGGAGCACTAACTGTTCGTTGTGTCATTCACAGACAGAATTTGGTGGCAAAAACCCTGAATGAAAGTCTGCATGACACACTAGCCATTGTCATCAAGTGTGTGAACAAGATCAAAGTCCACGCTTTGAACTCGAGATTATTCCAACAGCTGTGCGCTGAAATGACGAGAACCTTCAATTCTTTCTTTTGCACACTGAAGTCCGGTGGCTCTCAAAAGGAAACCGTTTAACACAATTATTGTTCTGCCTGTTTGACTCTGTGCCGGAGCTTTGTTCAAGAAACAGACAGCGATCTCTGCAATAAACTGAAAGAACACAAGAACAACATTTCGTTCCTCACAGATCTTTTCACAAAGTTTAACCAGTTCAACTTGCAGCTGCAGGGGGATGACACCAACCTGATCAAAGCAAAATCCATGCTTTCGTCATTCTTGTTGAAATTGGAAGTATTTCACCGAAAGATTGACAGAAGAGAACTTGCTCAGTTTCCTAGCTTGACAGCGACACTAAAAGAAGGGCGGGTTTCTGATGAGGAACTAGGAATATATACCAACCACCTCAGAGATTTGCATGCTGATATGATCGCGAAGACAAGGTTTACTGATATCTTTTAACTGGAAATTCTAGACTGGGTACTCAATACAATACTGGAACAGATGGTGACTTGACAGTGGCAATTGAAGAAGAGCTGACAGTGAAAAGTGACTTTGAAATCAAACCATTGTTCAAAAAGTCGTACCAGTCATTGTGGTTGAAAACTATTGTGCAAGACAAATATCCCGTCCTGTGGGGAAATATCAAGTTGTTGTTCATCGCTTTTCCCACCTCCTGTCTAGTAGAAATGGGATTCGAAGCAGAGGAAAAAACTAAGGATCACAGAGCGTGGCGATTAGCGTCTGCTTCTGACCAATCTGAAACCTGATGTTGAAAAGTTGGTTTCGTCTCGCCAGGTCCGTACTTCCCATTAGGGCAGTGTCAATGACTTATTTGCATATGCTTACTTCGTAGTTTACCCTTACTTGGTATCTGAATACGTCTTTTCTTTTTTTCTTCTTTCTTCTTTTTCTAAAGCAAAATACTCACTTGTTTAATAGAGTTTGTTATGTGCATCTGCTGCCACTGCTGATGAAACTGACGATGATGGTTACGGCGATGATTACGATGATGGTGATAATTACAGACTAAGATCCATGTCTACTTTTTCTTTCGTGTGGTTTCTCACATTTGAACAGCTTAATAATATTTTTATGTTCTACAATGGAGATATTTGATATACAAATCTCAGGCAACTTTATTGCAGCTCCTTGATGGGAGAAAACGTTTCATAAAAATAATGCTTTCAAACGAATGATCACTGTTATGGGGTTCTTTTTTTAAAAAACGTGTTTTGCTTCTGTAAATGCCATAATACATGTTTTACTTTTATTGATGTTAACAACACT